TCTTTTGCATGTGAACCTGCCTTTCGCTCGATCCACCGCACAGAAATTCTACGACGTGGGGTCTATATATTGTGCAACGAGTGCAGAGGTGGGTAGCTCACACTGGTGCCGCGACCAAGGATAGACCTTGGGTTGCACGTTAGTACGATGGACTTTGTGGAGGAAGGAGAAGGAAGGAAAGATCGAATTGTCTGATTAAACACTCAATATATATGCATATATATATATATGTGTAAATGAGTGAAGACTTCGATAATCCGATAGACACAGACACGTGTGTATAAAAAAAAAAAGACAAACAAAAACAGACGAACGACCAAACAAAGACAAATAAAAACAGAGGAAAATGGAGGAAAGGGAGGAGTTAAGAAGAAAGAGACGCAGAGTGAGAGAGAGAAAGGAAGCAAGAAAGGAGGGACAGACAGATACACACTTCTTCCCCCCTTAGAGAACGGACACTTTAAGTACTGGAGATTTTTATTTTTTTTTTAATTTTTACTTCAACTAGGAGGACGACGGCAATGAACAAGTAAATGAACACTTAAGAAAAAAAAAAAAAAAGAAAAAGGAAAGAAAGAAACAGGAAAAAGAAAAAAAAAGTCTATTCCGGTCCCTGCAAGGTAGGCTGAAAATTTGTCCTTTTGTTTTTTGTTTATCCTTGTTGTTTTATAACTAGTCTGTCTGGCTGGCATTTAATAGAAATATGGATAGTATGGATATAGATGTCCCATCGCGCTCTATTTTTAAGGTAACCGCAAGTGGATCCAAGATCGCTATATTCACGGGGAAAGCCTGTGAGTTTCAGGCCTGGGTAGAAGCTCTGAAGAAAAAGTCTAGAATTTACCAACTTACACAGACAGAGTTGGTGAATCTGGCTTATGACTATTCGGACGGGGTGGTATCAGAATACATAGGATTATATTTAGATGATAATCCTGAAAGTAACTGGGGGGACCTTTTAGAACAACTGACGAACCAGTACAGTGATTATACTAGTGAGACTGATGCTGCTAGGGCCTTAATTAAGATTAAGCAAAGGGAAGGAGAAACTCTCTCGGAACTAGCAAGTAGAGTTTTAGGATTAGCTAAGGTCGCATACAAAGACGCTGTTCAACGTGATGGGGAGGCGGTGCAGGCGCAGCTGGCTGAGTACTGACACGGACGCTATAGAAAATACGTTAGTAAGAGAAGACACAGCAGGGTGGCCCCAGCCTCACTTATGGAGGTGTTTGCAACAGCAGGAAAGAGTCTTAGGCTCTATAATAGGCTCACAGCCTCCAGGGGAGGGAGAAGAAAGGGATGGTCAAGAGAGACGAGAACAGGGTGGACAGAGACTCCTCCTGTTGCTTGGGATCAGGGGAGCGTGGCCATTGGGGCTATCGTTGAGAGACCACCCCATGAAAGGGGCTGGAAAAGGCCACCCCTGACCCAAGACAACTGGGGTGGGAGTACAGACAGCTGGGTCACATAATGGAGGAGTGCCCCAGAAAGGAGGGTGCCTCGGTCGTGGTGTAATGGTTAGCAAGCTTGTCTCGCTAAAAACAGTTACGACTGTATAGCGAGTTCGATCGTCGCTAGGTGTGTGTGCCATAGTCGTAATTGTAATTGTAGTGATATTGATAATCCGGGGAAGGCAGTGGTTGATAAGATGTAGGATGAGAAATATGCCAGAAAAGAGACAAAAGGACCAAGATGGAATGTCAGTCAGGATAGCAGGGACCAAGGAAACAAAAGACAGTGTAATTTTCCCAATTCTGGACCAATCGGACACTGCATGCTCAGTGGAGTCACCACTTACAAAGCCGCTACAACTTGGCGTCATAAAAATGAACAAAAAAAAAAAAAAGAAAGCAAAACTCGCCAAGCTTAACCAGTGAAGTGGGAAGTCAGTCATGTTGACATACTCAGTAAACACAGGGAGAGAGTTTGTTGTTTTGTACAGGGGTTAGTGAAGATCCCTGGTGGAGGAGTGAATTCCACAATGAAAAAAAAACATTATTCCTGTTACGACACCAAAAGAACTGCGGAAATGATGATGTTCCCACGTCGTAAGGAAAAGGGGAGATAAGCCAAAAAATACTCCTGAATGTTTGGATAGGGGTGGTTAAAATTTCCCTGTGTTTTTTTTTGGGGGGGGGGCGAAATGTTGAAAAATTGAATGATGTTGGAGGTGAATCGAAAAGTCCTCCTGGATTACGGAATAGGAATGAGTCAGGAGCCCCTCAAAATTGTTCACAGGAAAGAAAAGTGGAAGAACTGAAACAAAAAAAAAAAAAATTTTTGTTGTATATTTTGTTTTCTCCTCGGCCGAGTGGAGATACATAGTCTCATATTGTATTGTTGAAACTTGTTGTCCACCCCTGAATAGTGGCGATAATTGTTGTAAATTCTGTGGTAATTTGTTTTTGTGACCTGTACATTATTGTTTTCTCTTCGGGGACGCCCAAGCAGGGTCATAATGTGAAGAGGAAGAAGCATTGTTGTTGAATTCTTTGTGTAATTTATGAAATAAATGACAAAGATGATTGGGGGAGGTGTGTGACACTATGAGTTGGATATATGCGCACACGTGTGTGTGTGCACCCGCACATCTGTGTGTGTGTGTGTGTATATATACACCCACATATGTGTGTGTGTAGGTGCGCGCGCACATATGTGCGAGAAGATTAGTTAGATTTGACCTGGGTATCAAACTTCAACACCCAATGACTAGATTAGGAATCTAGATAAAAACATGTTTTGAACATATGGCCAAAAGGGTAGATAAGTGTTAAGTACTTGTCAAAATACGAAGATAGTTAAAAGACCGGCTCTGGTCAAAACTTAAAAGGGTCTGAATTTAATGTCCCTGGATCGGAGTCAGCTAGGCTAGGAAATATTTTTATGTTCACTTTTCTTCAAAGGGAGAAATGGCCATGAAAAAGTTATGGGTTTATTCGTGAGTGTCCCTTCCCCGGAAATGATGACAGAGGTCTCTCTCTCTCTCTCTCTCTCTATATATATATATATATATATATATATATATATATATGGGAACGCTTCGGTTAGTGGCAGACTTAGTTTAGGTTCGAGGAAGGGATTCAGGCCGTAGCAAGTAGCAACGAAGAGCGACACCCTAGCAGCCGGACATTGTTAGTTAGGATATTATTTTTTTTTTTTGCCAGCCGAGAATCAGCCCAGAGTTAACTATCCACAAAAGGTCACACGCCCTCCCTCCTCTTTTCGTTCTACCCAAGTTTGTAGTTGTGTTTTTCTTTTGCATGTGAACCTGCCTTTCACTCGATCCACCGCACAGAAATTTTACGACGTGGGGTCTATATCTTGTGCAACAAGTGCAGAGGTGGGTAGCTCACATTCCTTATACCGAAAAATTCACCTTATTTATTGAATGACCCTCATAATAATAATTTGAAGTTAATTTAACTTCTATTCCGTGGTGAGGTGAACTAGTCTGGTTTTGTTTTTTCTTGTAAATAAGATACTTATTTGAATGATGATAAAGATTAAAATTTGAATCTTTTAAAATAATACATGATTGCTTTAGATCAAGATTCCTCTTTAAAAAGCACATTATCAAGTTTTCTTGCTGAATTAAGATCAAAGGAAAATTATTCAATATACAAGTCCGTGATGATTTTGCTTGATAATTGTTTATTAAATATCTACTAATTGTATTATTTTTAGTTATTTTTCTTTTAATAAAATCATCTTCATTATTACTTCAGATTTTTTTGCCTCATATATAGCACAGCATTTTAGATTAAATGAATGGACTGCAGGATTAAAATGATCCTTGAAAGATTAACTCCTGAAATGTAGAATGAATTCAATTTGTATCAGGACCCACTTTTGTACTGTTTTACTGTATTGATCCAGTTGTTTCATTTAATACAAGGGCAACAAGATGGAGGATAACTAGTGAGATATATATATATATATATATATATATATAGTGCTTTAATGAAAATGATTTGAAGTATTCCAAATTAACTTAGAAATGATTTATTGTAATATCTTTTATACTTTCAGAGCAACTATACTATACAAATAACTTTCTAATCCTTATCAGCCAAGTTCTAGGATTATCAGCATTGCCTAAAAAATGTATCCAAATATCACTTAGTAATACAAATATATTGTTCAATTTTATATAGATTGATATTATGCACTATTGCATATTTGGCAAAATATTTTAAAAACTTCTAATTTCTGGATAGAAACTATTAAATGCATTTTTTAGATTTTTTTTTACTATCTTGTATTCATCTAAATAATTTCTAAGTCTTTAATTTGAATAGATTAACAACTTAAAACTTTTTTATTGATGTTAAATAAATACAATATTAGGACTTAAATTGAAATACTATGAACTTTAAAAAAAAAAAAACAAACTCTGAACAAATTTTAATATGGACTTCACAAAAATGCATAAAATTCAGAAATAAATGATTTTTTTTGTTTTTGTAGAGCATGATTTATAAAAGTTTGAACCTTCAGATATCTTCAAAATTATACTAAACTGGTTCAGGAATAAGTTATGGGATACTATAAAAGCTGTTTAAACGGTCTTCCACTGGTAGTGTATCTATATAATTTTGAATTAAAGAAACTCAATATTATTAGGATTTCAAAGTTATAAATCATGTAATCAAGTTGTAGAAACGGGTAAAAAAATCCCTGATTTTCTTAAATTTCAAACATTGAAAAATTGTGCCTGTACAAACTTTTGTCCTTATTATTATATAGCCATGTAAATACAGAAATTATATTTAAAAAAAAAAAAAAAAAAAAAAAGGTATATATTTCATACTTAATCTGAACCAGCTGTAAATAACTTGCATGATAAATGGAATCTTTTTAAAGTTTTGCAATTAATCAGGTTAATTGCACCCTAATCTCTCCTGCACTGGTGGCGGTGCAAACATTAGGGAAAAAATATTTTACAAATAACTGTTAATTTGTTATTTTTTAATCTTAGACTGTTTTTCTCGCATTTACAGGAGACTTTGTTTCCCTATATCACAAACAATTTAGAGAGCTTCCTTGAGAAACATTTTGATGAGGTGAATTGCCAAGCAGACATACAACTTCTCCGTCAATTGGTAAGTAGGCCATTTGCTAAGTTTCACTATCTCCCACTTCAAGCCTATATTCTACACTTATATAACTTTAGTTACAACTAGGTCTTATTCTCTTGTGTTGTCATCTGCAATGATGACTTCTAATTTTTTTATTTCATTTCCTATGAGTAACTCTCCCTTTCCAGCTAAGAAAAAAAATGACTTATTTTTGCTATAATTCTCTACTTACAGGTTAACATCTTTTATTCATTCTTTGTGAATCTGAAATAGAAACAGGTTTGGCTTGAGTACATTATTACTTCACATCCTCTTCTTCCTCTTTGCAGAGTTGAGACCTTTACACATAGCAAAAATTAAAAGAATATGAACCTAAAAAATATACTTTTTGCTACGCAATTTTTTCATTTTTATTTTATACTCACAAGAAATGAATAAACAAATATGAAAAGTATTAAAAGAATAAAAATGTACTATGAAATGTCTTAAATAAAAGGTTTTCTCTTTTAGATTTACAGTTGATTAAGCATTCTTTCCAATTTATATCTTGAGGCCTGGCACGGAATTTATTATTCACCTAAAATATTTTGCAATATTTTACTAATTTTATGAATTAGTAAATATGCACAAATTTTAAATTGAAGTTTAAAGATTCATAGTACATATTGTATTTTAAAATACCTTAATCTTGTATCTTAGAGTTTCTCTCTTGTTTTTTAAGTAAAACACAGTAATTGCTTTTTTAACTCTCTTTATCAGCTTTAGTTTGAAGGGGATGTAAGTTATTGCTTTTTTAATTAGAATTTTGATTTTTTTTTTTTTTTTTTTTTTTTTTTTTTTTTTTCTTGTGGCAGTTTTATATTTACAGCCAATTCATATATTCATATTCTGGGATCTTTGTAAGCTGTACTTTCTTTAGCTTATTGGGAGTTTTTAACTTTTTTTTCTCAACTCTTTAAAAATTATTACTCAATTTGAAATGTAGAAAATCTAAAAACCTAATATTTTTTTCATAATAGATTTTTGCTACTGTTTTGATATCATTCCTTTGACTCTTGAATTATGTTCAGCTTTTTACTTGTTGACTAGGGCAAAAGCTTGGAATTTTTAGTTTCAGCTTTTGTGTGAAAATTTACATGCTTTCTATTTTCAGTTCCAAATGGATATTATTGAAATTTCATTTTTAGTCTTGAGAATAAACAAAATATTTTCAACACTTGTTCACATGCATCAATTTTTACTTTTGAAAGGCCACAAAACATTACATGAAAATTGTATGAAACTATATTTAAAATAACCTTTTCTTACTTTATAAAACAGGAATTTTCAGCATCAAAAATTTTCTAAAAAAACAATGCTAAAATTCAACTTTTCTTTTTACATGAACACACACGTGTGTGTATAATATATATATATATATATATATATATATATATATACACACACACACACACAAATATTGTGTGTGTTTTGTTGCATGGTATACTGTAATAAATTTAATATTTTCCTTGTTTTTAAATGCTTATCAAAGATAAACTTTTACCTGTTAGCTTAATGCTTATGTCATGGGTACTGTTGTAGGGAGGTATTACTGTGTATATATTCCAGCCAGTGCATACTGGTTGTGCATCCTTTTACAGGCAAAGAAGGATAAAGAGGCTAATGTTGATGGTGTGATGGAAATCCCTGATACTGATGCTGACAAAGACACCATCATGAAAGCTGTAATTGCTAATGTGAAATGGCAGATGTCTCAAGACCGAAAGTGCCAAGAGCTGAAACAACTGCAGGGGCATATCTGGAAGGAAGCCTACAAGCAGGGAACGATTAAGGGAGTGTAAGTAAAAACTTCCTGAGGAAGAGGTAACACTTTGCCAGGTGGTGGATGAACATATACTACTCCTCCACATACACACACACAAGAACACACACGTTTTATTCTGTTCCCAAACTTCTCATATCACTTAATTCCACCTTCCATTTTTACTCATAAAAACTTATTTTATTGTCACACATAGAATGTGTAACCTCTCCTCTCTCATTCATATACATATATATATATATATATATATATATATATATATATATATATATATATATATATATATATATATATATATCTTGTTTTAAATGTTCACTCTTAAGTGAATTCTAAAACCATGTCCTTTAGTGTTTCTTATTTCTCCCAGGTTGTTTTCTGATGTTGTACCAACACTCCGTCAAATGGTTGATGATGGAATAAAGATCTATGTTTACTCTTCTGGAAGTGTTGAGAGCCAGAAATTGCTATTCACACATTCTAATTATGGAGATATTATTGATGTAAGTAATTGTTACTCTTTTTGCACTTATAAAGGCAGTATAATGCCTTTCTTTAAATTCTCTAACAAATCTTTGCATTGGGAATTTTTAAATATTTAAAGTCTATTAACAGTCAACACTAAATTTTTAGGTTAACTTTGAAACACTTCATTTTAATACATTCTGAATTTGCAATCTACCAGATGGAAATAGTAATGTGCCCAGAAAGATATCAATACAAGTTTATCCAATTTCACATGAGTATATGAGCAAAAGGTACATGAAAATGATTATTAAATATTCAAGGATTCCAGCTCTTTAACTATATCAATCCTAAAGATCTTGGTCCTAGTGATAACTTAATACTCTGTTTTACTTTGCCTTGTTTTTTCCTGTCTACTTTGTGTTTTTTTTTTTATCCTGTCTACTTTGTTTTTTTTGGTTTTTTTTTATATACACAAATGAAATTTAAGGAATTGTTTCCATTTGAATATGCACACCCACACTTGATTCCAACAAATTTGGTAAATTCAAAGGTAATTTTATTGATTTATATTAGTTAAAAGCAGAAGTTTTTGAAGAATTTTATTTTGTAAAATCAGATTACCAAAAATCTGCTCTGAATTGTAAAATACAAACCCTGTAAAACTAATCCAATATTTAATTGGAAAAACTTTTAATTACTTTTAATGTTAAGGACAATATTGTTTGAAGCAAAATATTTTGTTTAATTTTGACAATTTTGTTATTAATTTTTATATTATTTATGAAATTTTAAGTTTGCTTTTCCCAGAAAGCATTTTCAAACATAAGGCTATAAAGCTAAAGTAACAAAAAAAAAAAAATTGCTTAAAATACTTAATTTTTAAAAATTACTGAGTAGTTAAATAAGCACACTTAAAATTCGTAAAATTTATGTCATTGCTGTTCAAGTAACTTCTCTTAGCACACTGATTAACACCTCAAAAATGTCATAGTTAAGAGACGATTTTATTTTCTGCTACATTTTTTTATGGTAATAAAGTTATGTTTGTTTCAAATCATATATTTTACTTTTTGCAAGATTTTTAAAACTGTATTAACATTAGTTTATGAATGTCTCAAAAATGGACTTTTTTTTTTTTTTTTTTTTTTTCTCGTTCACTGAATTCCAATCAGTATAAATTCATTTTTAAATACACCAGAGTATTTTGCTTACTGGGTATAGTAAATTTATTCCTTTACCTTTTGAATTGAAGCCAAAAAGAAAGATTCAATAAATATTATTTTTAAAAATACATTTTAAACCTTAGGTATTGTGAAGCTGGCAAAAAAAAAATATATATATATATATATAAACTACTAATTAAGAAAATGTATTTTTTTAATATATAGCTAACAAATTTTAATGTTTGTAAATCCTTCAGATTCTTTCCATTGGAAATTAGTGAAAAAATGTTGCAGCATTGTCTGATATTGTAATCTTATATATAATACTTTCACCATTACCAATTTTTTGTAAAGTATTATCTAGCAAGTTGCCATTTACTGGAAATAAATAAATAAATGACTGACTGTACTGGTAGCAATTTCTCATGGGTACCATCTTTTGAGTTTCACTGTTTTATTATATATATATATATATATATAACAATGGGGGAAAAATGATTAAGAAAAAGCAGATTTTTCATATACTCAGAAAACAAGAATTATTTCAAGTAATTGGTATAAATTCGCAATTAAATTCAACATAGCAAATTTAGTACATCATTGTCTCGGTTATCCTTTTTTCTAATAATTTTGGGCCTTTTTTTTTTTTTTTTTTTTTTTTTAACAGCATGAGTGAATCTCCCAACTAATTATTTTATTTTTCTCTCTATCTTAGATATAAAGTATGATAGACTGCTGAAAAGTTCTTAGCTTTACTCTTGGACCCCAAATAAAGTGGTGGTTGGAAAAAATAATGTAATTAACATAAGATTTGAAAAAATAAAATTTAGTAAAATCAGAGAATGATCAAAACATCACCAATAGGTTATATTGTATAATATGTGAATGCTAGTTTGGAAATAGCAGTGTATTAGTTTATAATACAAGTGTTAGGGACAAACATTGTGTGTGTTTTGAAAACACATGTTGACAGCAGGCAATGCATATTTTGTAAAGACATGAATATATCCACTGCACTGGAAATGTTAATTTCATGCATTGATACATCTTTCCTAAATTTATTGTTTGCCTAATTTTATCAAATTCATTTAATATATTGATTTTTTAAAATGGTATAATAACATATTTTTTATAAGTTTGTTTTAGAGCTTTTAAACTAATACTAGGTATCCCATACTAAAATTCTATCTTCAATTTATCTAAAAAAAAAAATGTGGAGGGTGCATAGTGTGAAAAACAAAGAAAAATGCTACCAAATTTATCATGGTAGCTCAATTAGAAACTGAATTATGACCAATTGAAGTTGTCAGTTTTCCATCTTGTGTGCTATTCAACCAGAAGCCAATTTCAACAATGCATAACTGAAAATGCTGTCTTCAAACTAGTTAAAAATTCTTATAAATGCAATCTTGAAGTAAAGAAATCAATTATTACATCACAACTGTCTAATCATTGGTCAAAATTGCTGTTCTAAAAAAAACAGCAATGCTAAAATTCAACTTTTCTTTTTACACGAACACACACATACACGTCTTTCTTGTCACTGAGCAGCACATAAATAGCAGTAACAAATGACTTAACTGTTTCATACATGGCTGATTTCTATGCAGTAAAATTTTGTTCACCTCTCCTTGTTCCATCTGCTTCTAGACCAGAGGTGTCAGATTTATATCCTTTTGACCAGGAGAATTTTGCACGAACATTGGTTTCAGCTAACATCAAGTCTGTTAATTTTTTTGATTGGCCCAAATTATTTTATTTTCTGCTGTTTGTTCCTTTTCCATTTCTTTTTCAGCCTCCCTGATTTTTGGTATTTTTTAGTCACAAATAAGGCTCTGTTCCTGGAAACATTCAGTGTTATTTGGCCAGGTTCAGTTTTCTTTTTTATTTGAGAGTTGTTTTCTTGTAGATTGAAGTATAGAAAGAAGTTTAGAGAGAGAAAGGGTTTTATTGCCTTATTTTAATTTGAATTCTTTTTATTTTTGTTCTTATATTTTATTTTTATTGAGACTCACTACAGTTGAAATTATCCTCTTGCATTTCCTCTTCTAATAAGTCATTTGCAGTCTGAATTTGTTTGTAAGCCTCCACTATAGCCAATCATCATTTGAAACTGACATTACATCAAAGTTGCATCTGAAGACAAATGTTGATGCCACTTGTGCAATAATATCATCCAACAAAGGCCATCAAAAATAACTATTTCTGCTTTTGGTTGAAAATTAATATTTTGATTGTAGCACTTGGTGGATATGTGATATCAATGATTCAGTCCATGTAAATGATGGAGTAATATACTGTAACCCATTGTTCTTGGTGCTCATAGCCAAAGGTCATTTGAAGTGATCCTTCTTCATAATAAATGTTTCACTATTCAAATTCACTAAGTGCTTTTTCTTTCTTCCTTTGTTCATTTAGAGATTGAGTTGAAATTACATTAAAAGTTCTCAATGAAATGTCTTTTCCCTTCATCAGTTTTTAATTTTACCAGTATACATTGCAAGGGACTTAGTTTTCTTTGGCATGCTTCTCCTACTCAGAAAACTACTTCTCAGGGTATGGAGTTCATAATCCACTGAAGAGAAGATTAAATGTAAATTTTGTAAATCATCCAGGTAGGGGTATCTGGCATGGAAAGCACTAACACATGAAAAGGGTTGGTGGGAGCAACAGATACCCACTTAAAATAAGACCTGCTTATTTTCCATAATGTCCTAAAGGAAGGAGAAAAATACTTAAATAATTATGGACCCACGTCCCAAAGTTAAACTAAAACATATACCAGTTCTTTTTTTTTTTTTTTTTTTTTTATAAAACATATCCGCTTTTTTAAATAGCTAAATTTTCAATTAATTCTCGATAAAATCTTGAGAATTAGAAAATGTTGCCAACCATGAATGTAAATGAAATAATTGAGCATTAAAAAGAAAACTGAGTACTTCTTAAAAAAAATTTTACTTTATTATGGACAAATGTGAGTAAAATTTAAAATTGTTTGATATTCATTCACTCAGTCAGCCATGCAGTATACCCTCATATGTACCTTTTAGCTATAGGGGATATGAAACTATCAGATTATTAAAAATGAGACCTTGTTCTGCAAGAAGGAGGATTTCTTGTGTGTGTGTTGTATTTCCATGGTATCTACTCACTAAAATTTTCATCAGCTCTGAGCAGAAGTTTTAAAAACATCACTATGAAATTATCAGTTTGATAATGCATAAAAAGCACTACCTCATTGAAATAATGACAATTTAGTGATGTAAAATAAAAACTAATCATGACACACAAGAATTGTATCTTTTATGAAAAGATTAAATTTTGTTTTCATATTAACTTTATCAAAATATCCTCAAAAATGATATCAGCAGTTGAAATGGAAGGAAATGTCACTATTTTTACTAGGGCATTTTGGAATGTCTATTAAGTCCCATAATTATTAGTCATAAATAGAAATTAAATTAAATGTCGAATTAGTGCTTAGCATCTTTAATTTGAAACGTTTCTGGCACCATACAATCACTGTCATTCATTAGGACATTGTAACAAATGCTGTAACACAACATTTCTTGTATTATCTTACATATTCTCAATATCAACCACCTGCTAAAATAAAACACAGGTGGCATTATGAAAGCTAAAGATTTTTTGCCTACCTTTGAACTATTAGGCACTTCACATTAAAAAAAATACTGTAACACTAGAACATGTATATAATAATCTTGTGTATACTGGCAAAATTAAAATTAAAAAAATCAAGTTATTATAAGGTATCATCAGTCCCATGGTCAGGTATGGTCATAGGGTTGCTGAGTATCTGATCAGTTCCCTCCACATATCTAGGTTGGAAGCTGGAGAGCTCTTGCAGAACTGATTACTTTCAGTTCAAACAACTAATGATGTCCTTCAACTAAAAGGCTACCTTGGTCATGAGCAGATGGCCATTGATTCCTCTGGAGAAACCCTCTGCTCTGCCACACTAGATTTTAAGTTCTACTTCTAAATGGGTGTTAAACCAATTTCTAAAATGTGGCTAAATAACTAGCAATTTTCTTTCTCTTTTTGAATCTCTTTATTGGACCAATAACTCTTCAGTATTCATTCTATATCCTGAAATTTTCAATCTTGAATGAAATATTTTGATTAGTGCATTCTTCTATGTTTCTGATAATGTTGAATTATATAAGTAATTGTGTACAATCATGACTTTATTTGATCATCCTATAAAGTGATTAAATACATATCAGCTTTTCAAAAATATTATTTTTAAAAAATCAAAATCTCCTCACCCCATCATTTCACCCCAAACAAAGCAATGATGTCACTAGGATGTGAGTGGGTGCTACAGGGAGTGAAAGAGAATGAGAAGATTTTAGTGGGGAGAAAGGAACGGGATTCAGGAAGATGGCGATTGGTGTTTCATTTAAATTTTTGGAGATTGTAAGTGGCAGGGGAGCAAGAAAATGAAAATGTAAGAAAAACTACTAGAATCTAACATACAATAGTTCAACAGTGAGACCTAGTTGCCAACCTAATAGCACACTTAAATTCATGCAGTCAGCACCAAGGAGGAAAGGTCATCAGAACAATTGCCATGAAAATGTTTCTAGAAAAAAACAAAGCAATGTTACGTTAGTGAGAAATTGACTGAAATAGAGATGCCAGGTCAATTATATTAGACTCTTTGAATTTTGACAAGAATTTCAAGATAGGAGCACTAGACCAGATATAGCAACAATATTCATGCATGTAAGAATGGTAGATTTATAGGTGGGCAAGATGTTTTCCAACAAAAAAAATTATAGCACTAATGAGATTTTAAATTAAATAGCAACTTTATTTTAATGGATGTACTATTTATAAAGAAGCAGTATCTTTCGAAAAAGTTCTATCCTAGTCTATTACACTCTCTTTTCAATAGATAGAAAAGACATACATTCATTTATTCTCCTAAAACTGTATAAACTCAACTATCTAGCCTTGAGTGGAAGTCAGGTTTGAAGAAGACCTCAACACTTGAACAATGCAAAAAAATAATTAAATATTCTATCTTAACTAAGATGTCATAGTAATATTTACAGTATGACTAATATCCTTATTGTTGACTGAAACCTGATAGGAACAACAATCTCTTAATCCTTCAGGCTTTTCTCTCGTAGGACAATCTTGAAGCCAGACTTTGGTGTACCAAACCCAACCAACATTCTGGTTGCTACAGCCTTCTTGTTAAGCTCTGCCCCCCCCCTCCTCCTCCTCCTTTGTATCACATTTCCTGTCAATGCAATCCATTTGCCTTGTCTCCATGTCATTAGTTGCTGGCATTTCTGGCACATATAATGGAATTGCTATAAATCATGGACCTTATACTGTATTACTATACCATATTATCTAGGTCATTACTCCTGCTTCTTTTTATACAAATATTTTTTCTCTCTTAAATCATTTTATGATTGGGATATTTTGTTTTGCTCCCTCTCTACGTTATTGAGTTGCTACTGTTTTGTATTCTCGTTCTTAATATTGATTATCTCTTTCATGTTATCTATTGCTTTTTACAATTGTTATCCCACAACTGTTATTCAATAATTTATATCAAATGAAAAATATGCTTCTGTTAAGATCTGAATTGAATCAGTGCTTGGGAGCTTCTCTTACCATGACTAGTACTTTACTGATTAGCTCATGAGATCCTTTAAGCTCACCTACTAAGCATCATTCAGATTAGCTATATTATTATTTCCTTATTTCTCTTATGACACCATGTTTTGTTTATTCACTTTAATGTTAAATGTCAGATCCTATTTGAATTTTCAAAGATCTTTTTCTGTATTTAAATAAGTATATTTCAACACCAAATTTTTCAATTTAATGCTAGCTGAAAAATACAGAATATAAGACAATTTTAAACCTTGAATAAACCTGAAAATATTCATTTATACTTTAAAGCTGAGTTTGCAATTTTAGTACATTTGAGATGCAAAAAGTTAAAGATTTTTTTTTTTTTTTACAGTAAGGTTCACCTTGTACAAGGCCATTATGGATAGAAGATAATAGTTGACTCTAGACTTGAACAGGTTAAGATTTGTAGCAATTGGGGAAATATCCTCTGAGGACATAGGGTAGTGATTCATAGGAAGGAATTGTTTGAGTCAAACTTGCTTCTCACCAATAGAATATGAAGGGAATGTGGGTGGTTTGTTACAATGCAATAGGCATTACGGGTCCAAGCCATGAAGGTCAGGCCTGATAAAACCAGGAGATGCAGTTTGTTCAAGCAGTTTTCATGGTAGTAGCAATAAAGCAGCAAGATGCTCACCACATCCTACTTGTGAGAGATAGGTTGACAGGTGGAAAATAATTCTTATCCAACAAGTCACTTTTGAACTCTATAGAGGCTGGAAAGTGCAGCCTGGGCAACTCCTGCCCAAATATGACAACAGTATTCCATTTTCAACCTTATGTTTCTTATGAAGGTAGAGAATAGCATGTGGAGTCAGGTTCTTACTGGAGCAGTACAGGGAGCCAATCATTTTACCTGCATCTTTAATGATAGAACATATATTGGAATTCTACTTGAGGTTGGGTATTGATTTGAGACCAATATATTCTTGAGACATGGGGGCCTCCTCGAGAGGGGATATCTGTTCATCATGATTGGCAGTAGTTTGAGATCTGATTGGCAGTGATTGAATGTAACCAGTTTTAAGGCATTGAATGTTTATCCCCCCCACCCCACTGGGAAATTAGATCAAAAGAGAAGTCAGCTGTCAATCTCTGTTTGTCAAAACTTATGGAGGTGCACCTGTAAATCGCATCATCATGTAAGCATTTGCAAATGACCAGGGTCTTTTAAGTAGATCATTTATGTAAATCAGAAAGAGTTGATACAAGATGTGATCCCTGGAGGATGCCTGCATTGAATGCCAGGACCTTGCAGGACTGGCAAATAACTACTTTCAGGGATCTACCTGTTGGGAAGGATTTTGTAATAGAGGAAACCCTTCCAGTGATTCCATAGCTGGAGTGTTTGTGTAGCAAATGTTTGTGCTGCACTTTGTCAAAGGCCTTTGAGATATCTAATGCTATGATATTTGCTGTATGTGTGTCAACAAGGGCCTCACTAAATGTGTGTGTAATGGTAGTTAGGACATCAGCAGTGGATTGGACTGATTGAAACCAGTACTGCTCATCACACAAGAGGTTGTTCCTATCCAGGTGCTCAACAACCTTGTTGATTAAGGCCTCAAAAAACTTATTGAGAAAACTAGTGGGTCTTTACTGGGAGGGGGTATTGATTGCCTGCATTCTTGAAGACCAGGCAGATGCGTGCCCCCTTCCACAAGCTTGGGAAAGATTTCTCCTTCACACAGTGATTAAATAACTAGAATTGGTGATAATTCTGCGTTGATATTCTTGAGGATGACCACTGAAATTTTGTCTAGGAAGTGGCTTTTTGGAGGGTCAAGGCTTTTGATAAGTCTAGAGACTTCTGTTGCTGAAATGAGTATATTACTGAGATTATGCTCAGTGAGACGTGGAGAGGGGATAGCATCTAACATTGAGTTTGAAGCAAAGATCAAGGCAAAGAGCTTTACCTTTTCTGTCAAAGTGGATATGACATCAGGGCCATTTATAATAGTGGGTAAATCCGCTTTGCCTCTGTTCATAATTTGATTTGTGATCTTCCAGAATTCATGAGATCCAATTTGTCTATTTTTCAACCTTGGCAGATCACAGCGTAGCTGCACTTTGCATTTTCCAAGACTCTTTCAGTGATTGTGGGCAGTTCTGAAGGAAGTAAGGGCCAGACTACACCGCTCCTTGCAATAGATTTGGAAGTAGTGTTTCCAGTGAGCTATGACTGCATCACATTCTGGGGTTAACAAGGCTGACTGTTTGGATTTTACTATAAATTTTTTTTTTTAAGTTGTAAAACACTCCATTCCAGAAAGGATTTATTCAGAGATAAGAGCAGGATGTTTGAAGAAGATTGGGAGAGGGGCTTCCATCATACATGTAGGACTAAAAACTGCCACTCTGCCTCTGCATAACAAAAAACATTCTATGGAACAGTTATTATAATTTAAAATTTTTCACTAATTGGCACTTACTTTGGCATGAAAAATAACTAAGAATTTTCATTTTGTGTGCTCAGATTTTTTTTGTTATCCTTCCTACCTTGTGTGTTTTTATTTATTTTTTTTCTTACATCCTGCAAGACATGGGTTCAATCACACCCTTTTGTAATCAAAGTACCTGAAAATTAGTCTCTTCAGTTGTGGTGTACTGACAATAGGATATGCATATTAACAATACTCCATTCTCTGTTGCCCCAAACTTTGAATTAGTCATTTAACTAAATGACGGATAACACTAATGTATGTAATCTTTAAGTGAACCTATTTTTAATGCTTTCTTCTTGCTACTGAGCACATATTTTTGACAGTTTCTCTATATATATATAAGTTGTGAACATTTTGCTTTTAATGTAAATTTTAGCATTGAACTTTAGTTGGGTGAAAATGCTTTAATTTATGTGCCTTAATGATTTTTACCTTCCTAACTGCATGTAAACCTTTTGCAACAGGTTGTGTATATCTTTTCCCTTCATTGTCTTTTGTAATCAATATATGGATCTCATCAGCAAGACAAATCAGGTTTGAGATTAATATCATAAAAGGATTAACCTTCAGTTTACTTTACAAGTACTGAAGTTAAGTTACATAACCATTTTTTTGGTCTTTAATTTAATACCAAGTATGATAATGAAGTTTGCTCCCTTTGGGTATTAATGGAGTTTTACAAAATATCTAAATATAATTGAATTTTGAGTTTCTTCATGCTACAAAAAAAATCTGATTTGTCTGTCTACAGAAATACACTATTAAATGAAGGAGTGCAGGTCTTGATTCCACTTAATTTCATAAATTAAAGCCAAAAATTGTCTTAATTTTTGTAGATTTACTAAGCTTAGTATGATGGAGAGAATAAATGAAAGTTTAAAAAAATTCTATGTTAGCCAAAACATTTCAGTCTAATAGCATTTTCAACATCATGTCTGTTTGCATTTTTTTTAATTTACTGAAAACATTGATAATTTTCAATATTTAATTTTTTAATAGAAACAAAAATAAGCCCATTTTAACTGGTAAAAAATGCATGCTTTCATAGCCACTCTCAATAACCTTTCCGATTTAGTTAAAACTAAATACTTCTAATTTCTAGTATGACCAGTTATTATTTATACAATTTGCTTGTGGACTATTGTCCTTGTTATATTCACAATGTTTCAGTTGTGTCCTCCACCCTCCATCAGGTGTATATCAATCTGTTTTTATTTAATTTACAGGAATAGATTGTTCTCATTCCACTGCCTGTGTCTATGGATAGCATCGATTTTTATTTATATATTTTTTAAATATTGTTCATATAAGAACTAGACAAAATATCCCTCAACATGGGTTGTGGAAAAAGAACAATCTACCCAATAGATTAAATAAAGGATACAGTTCAAAATCCTCTGTACACATCCCAGGTCTTCATACACCTGAAGAACACCACTGCCAAAATGTTGTGATAACAGATGCTGACAATAGTGGAAACAATACTCCTAATACCATCTTATAAAAACAAGATTAACTTAAGCAATCCAATATAAAATGAATTAACTTTTGTAATTGGCCCCAATTTCTAGTATAAATGTTAACAATTATATACATGTTCTGGTACTTGGAACAGCAAAATTACACTGGGTCACAGCATTCCTGCCACTTTTGGAATCTGGCCTGGAAGTTGTTTTCTGTAATCAAGTTGAGGACCTTCTGTGATTTTGCTCTGGATTTCAACAATGGTTTTAAAACGGCAACCTTATACTATCTGTTGGCACACTACAGAACTAATCTAGAAACTTCTTGATACCACCCCATATATTACTTGCAAAATAATATTATAATTATAAAGCTAGACTGATTTTTATTTTCAGTACTAACTTGTCAGTTTTCAATTAGAATCAATGACCAAAATCTCTAAATTCAAAAAACTTTGATCAAATTGCCAATTTCTGTTATGTTAATAAATTATACAGAAAAAAATTATCCATCTGTTGCAAATATAGTCCTTACATTTACAAGTTAAATTTCACATGTCCAAGGTGCAAGAGGTGTTTAGAGAAAGAAAAAGAATAGTGTTCAGATTTTTTTTTTTTAAAATACCAGGCTAATTTTTGTGCATCTCCATAGGTATAGCCTTCTATTATAATTCCAGTATTTAATTGTATTTTGGCAGCTCATGAATAGTTAGAATACCTCTTGAAAAATGTCATTAAAAACATTATGAACTTGATGGGAAGGTATATTTCAATTAGTTTTTAGCAAAAAAATTCATTTTCTGGTTTAAATAATTTTTCAGTAATCAAATAGTACTCTCTTGATAATTGGTCCATGGTAAAAGCTGTGGTTTAGAAAATACTTTAGTCATTCTATGTCAAAT